TGTACTTGTGCAGCATTTTCTTAGGTAGAACCATATTATGGAAGCAATAACATTTTCACCAGCACAAGCACAAATGGATCATGTCTTATATATTCTGGCTGAGCCGGAGAAGTCTCAAGAAATTAATTCAGTCCATGAGCAGCTACTCAGAAACTACTAATATAAAAGCCTACACCATAAAAATGCGATAGATAGAGACCAGCTTAGCTTGATTACTTCTTTTTACTGCCTTAAATTTCAATAGCTGAAACTCAAAAGAACTGGACTTAAAAAACAGCCAATAAGAAACATTTACGGGATATTGCATTAAAGACAGGATCTACAAGAAAGCATGGATGGAATTAGTTCTTGAGCTAGTTAACTTTCTTTGTTTAAGTTGCCTGGTGATACAATCTGGATGCAAGGTACCAACAAACAAAAAGTCTGTATTTAGGAGTAGTGCTGTCACAGGAATCCCATATACCATCCCTACCTCCTCCTCCAAGCTGTCAAGCCCCCAAAGCGGGTAAGCACAAGGCAGAAAAGGGATATGTAAATCCCACAGCACTACTAAATATATCCCACCAGCCATACTATATATAAAATGTCACTACAATCTCACTCCCCCTTCTCTGAAATGAAAGTACTGCTCAATCAGATGAGTTATCTAGCCATGCTCAACCCTGTCAGGCTGCTTGCTCCTAAGTCCGTCATCCTGGTTTCTTCCTCTGCTCTGAATTTTAGCTTGTATTTCTGCACCTGCAATAAAATCCCTCCATAGCCCGTAAAAGAAATTTATCTGCAAATCACAGAATCATAGAATCCTAGGGGTTGGAAGGGACCTTGAAAGATCATCTAGTCCAACCTCCCTGCCAGAGCAGGATCACCCAGAGCACATCACACAGGAACGTGTCCAGGCAGGTTTTGAATGTCTCCAGTGAAGAAGACTCCACAACCTCTCTCGGCAGCCTGTTCAAGTGTTCCCAGAACAATGTTTGGTGATTTACTGAGACTGTAAAGAAATATATACCTTTTCTCCCTATGCTCCATAACATGCTGCTAACCACAGATGCATCTCAGATGGCATCTAGAGGCCAGATAATAAAACCTCATTAAGGATATCTGTCTTTTTTGCTCCAGGAAAGTGTGTTTAGAGAAATGCAGGGAAGCAACAGAGCACATTTTCTGGATCTCTTTCACCAGTCAGAAGAGCATTGGTCCCTTAGCCTTCTCTGGACTACCCTAATGGCTATCTGACTGGGGTGCAGTCTAGCACATCCTCCTGTTACAGCTGGCAGCCAGCATCAGGTGCCTCACAGCCAAGGTGAGTGCAAGACCTCCTCATTAGGCAGGTACTGGATACTCACAAGTTTCAACCTGGTCTTTAAAAACTAGAAGTTCTATTATGTCCTTTCCATTTATGTCCCAAATACATGCTTTCTAGCAGCTGCACTTTTCAGTAGGTAAGATTTGCATTTTCCTGTGTTAAACTAGTGCTGATAATAGCCAAATTGTTGGTGGATGTTTGTGTGTATAAAACTCCTTCAAGGCTCATCCCCAGCACCTGCTAATCTGGCTGTGAGCTCATTTCTCGTTACAGTGCAACTACCACTATTCAGTCACGTTGAAGAGAAGTCATGAGGTAAAATAGTGAAGACCAGCATGCACTAAAAATTAGTGGGGTCATCTCTTAATAAAAAGCAGCTTTGATCCCCTTCCCAATACCTTCTAAGTACATGTACTACGCTGAAACCAAGTTAATATGCACACCATCCCCTCTGTGTTCAGCCTTGGAAATGCAACTAGTAAAAGAGTAAAGGAGTTGCCAGTGTGAAGGACAGATTCTGCTGTCCTTAATTACTCTATTTTAGTGCTGCCTTTATTCATGCTTATCTTACAGCAAACAGCACCAAACAGAAGGTATGATTAATACAGAAGGCAAGAACTGGCTTAACAAAGGCCCAGAATGGGAAATGGAAAAGGAAAGGTAAGAAAATATCTCAGCTTTAGCCCATCTGGTTGTGGCAGCAGGGCTTCAAGCCATAAAAACAGACACATGAACAGGAAGTCTCTCAGTTTCTTCAGTTTTCACCATCTTATTGCTATCAGGTTACATCCAACATCCCAGCAGCTCCGGAAGAAGGACTTCGAAAGGACATGTGAGTAGAACAGAGCCTGGGGGAAGGATGACACTCTTGCCAGTGAGTTTCTCCTTGAGCTGGGTGGCAACAAGGTAAATGTTACCTGTGTTTGTCAACTCAGTTAACTGCATTTTCGTTTTAAGAATTTTGTATCACTTCCACTTATTAATTTTTAGTTTATTACATTAGAAATAAATACAGAGATCTTGCTCTGTACAAGAGATCTTGCATTTCCTTCTAGGACACTGGAAAATATTGCATTTAGTTTAATACCACATATTTATTCTCAGCATGTTGCTTCCTCCCTGCCAATATTTCAGCTTCGTCACTAATTCATGAACCGTCACTGGTGAGAATCAGCCCTAGACTGAGAAAAAGAATTCCTACATTTATTTGTATCTCGGTTTATAAAATATACTTTTCTCTTTAATAAGGGGGCTTTTTATTCTGAAAAATGATCATTAATTAGATCTACATTTGTACAGTCAGTAGAGAATTTGATACATATATTATAGGCCTCAACTAGGTAAAAGGGTATTATATCAAAAGCTTGTTAATCTTCTTTTCATGAAGGAAAGTCTGTAGTGGGTTTTTCAAGGCATGATGAAGAGTTGCCAGCATCCACTGACATCTTGAAGTATCTTTAGAAAATATGGCTCTCCGTGACAACAAATCAGAATAAACTGTACCCCAAAAAAGCTTCTGTAACAGGTAATGTAATGAGCAAAATAAGGGTAGATAAAGCTATAATCACAATGCAAAGGGAGCTATTTGGGGTGGAGCTGTCTCTTCTTTCCTGCACATATTGCCAGGAAACAGCTGGGACATTGCCACTAGAAATTTAAGTGTAATTGTCCCTTGACAACAATATCTTTCTTAGGCAGAATCCAGTATTACTCCTTCTGCTCTCTAATTCTGTAATGGCTGTTTAACAGAACTATTTTCTTAATGCAGGTTCTCCTGTTCATTTTATGCCTTCTGATATGGAAGGAGAGCTATACTTCCCAGAGCACAGCTCACTGTCACTGCTCCCTCTCCTTTGCAAGTGTCCAACCTAAGACATCTCAGGGTCCCTTCTGACCTTAATGTTGCAAACTATTTCTTGAAGAGAATTACAAACACTTTTGAGATGAAGGAATTAAAAAAGTCATATGTGTAACACTTTCAAGTATGAGACTATGACCAGGCAAGAGAATGGAAGAGAAAATTCTTTCTCCTATAAAAGGGAAGGTTAACTCCAGTACAAAACCACAAACTAAAGCACATGGCAACACCATAGCAAGTCAATCAAACGATCTTTTAGATACCAAACTGCAAAAAAAACTTTACTTCAAATTAAAATCTGCTTCTCTCAAGAGGGTAAAATATCTCTATTTAGTTTAGTTTGCATTCCCCTGCTAGAGTTATTAGTACTTTTTTGGTTACTTTTAGATGAGTTCTGCATGAGAGGAGAATAACACAAAAATTATATAGGAATTTTACATTCAGAATTTATCTCTGCTCCCACCAACGTCAGTGGAAGGAAGATCGACTCCACTAACTATAAGACATTGAGGTGTTGCTAAAAATGTATCAACTGTATCACATACATAAGAAAGATTCTCCCCAAGACACAAGTATTTAAGGAGATCCTTATGGAAACTCTAGAGCAATGAAAGAAAGTCATGAGAAGAAATACAGCTCAGGTAAGATGGCTTCACAGCAACTTTGAGCTCATCAGAGGTTTGTGAAGTTTATACTGAAAAACTCAGCAGACTCAGGAGAAATTTGTGACAAGTCTTCCTGCATTACTGCAGTATCCCCCTAATTCAAGGGGTGAGAGCATGAAGATGACTGTAAGTCATCTGTTATAGGCAAAACATTTGAGGCTTAGGATTTGAGAAACCTTTAGATGCTTCACTACCACAGCAGCAGATTAAATTATCATGTCACAGAAAGAGAAAAACTGAATGTGCTGCTCACAATGAGGTGGTGCTGAAGAGTGGGATAAACTGGCAGAAGTAAGAGGAAGGAATAACTTGGATGGAAAAGACAAGTAATTGTGGAGCTCCCACACAAAACCACCTTAGATCTGCTCAGGAATTTCAGATCTTTTCATTATGGAAACCCTTCTAAGATCAACCAAGGGGATGAGGCTCATTCCCAACAGTACCAGGAGTGGCTGTCCTGGCTGCACAACATCAAAAAGATGGAGACAGACATATGCAAGGCTTGTGTGTTTGTTTTGGACTGGTTTGTGGTTGTGTTGTTTTTTTTTCTTTTTCAGTTGTGCCGCACATTTTACCCCACCTTATGACAGAGTACAGATTTAACAGATTTCAGGATGATACCGAATGTCTTTAACAAAGACTACAAACTGCTCCTAGAAGGAGGTGGAAATAAACAAGGAGGTTCCTGTAACTGGGCAAGAATATTATTCCATGGACATCTAAACACTTGTGATTTCACCACAGCTGTAACAATGATCACATATGAGTGACCTGAAGGACACTACAAATCCAAAGAGATAACGAAACTGTAGCACACCAAAACAGACAATGTGATGTCAGTAGTACAGCTGAAATGTTTAAACCTGGGGAATATTTACAGGATCAGGCTCTTCCATTTTAACTGCTATGGCATAAGAAAAGCTTATGTAAGCCAAATAGAGAAAAACACAGTTGCTTGCAAGGCAGGACAGTATCCTGAGACTTTACAGTAAAAGCAATGCCATAATATTGCAGAAAGAACATCAATGGAACCTTGGAATATTCTGAAAGTTGGACAGTTTACAGAATTGTGTTGTGTTCTGCAACATCTAAGGCAGGACGGTGTATTCCCAAGTCACTGGTATCAACATGAGTCTGCCCCAGTACCCAGATTATTTAATGAGAACATTACCTTGTTCACACCATCTGCCATTGCTTGCAGTGTTAGCTCTCTAGGTCCATCCACAGTCTTTCCATTATCAGTTGGTCCCCAGCTGGCACTATAGATATCTATGACTTGAGGCATATGACTGATAGAGGAAGCCTCAATAATGTCTGTCATAAAAGGCTGGTCGAGCATTCGAATACCTGTAGATTGAATCACCATAAATGTGAATTATGCATTATCCAGCACAAGATGTAATCTCAGCACCTGGAGAAGTCCTCCAGCTACAGGTATTTTAATTCACTGGCAGTTTCACCCCCTCAATAATACTGTGCTCACCATTCACATCTCACCAGGGTGTGCTCACCCAGCAGGATGGCAGCACTTAAAACACTCAGCCACAGCAATGCAGCATGGCCCAGAAAGAGAAAGCACTTTTTTGTTAGGTCTCTAATTACATAGTATTTTCCATCTACCATTTGAAAATGCTTTTAAAACAGCAGTATTCCACAATCTCAGCATTTCATAGTATTTAAATAATATTGAGGGCATTAAAAATAGTATTTTTCAACAACTAGGGAAAAAAGTTTAATCCCTCCCCATCTCTAATTTATACTCAGTGATGCATTGACACTTCATTAGTTTTTCAAGTAATTTTTCTGTTTATTTTGGTTCTTCTCCAGAATTTAATCAGAGAGGGGAAACGCACTACACAGCAACTTCCTGAAAAAATATCACTGTGTCAACATGCAGACACAATAGCAAAATGCAGCCAGTACATGGAGAAAAATGCAATCTATAACCTGTTTCCTTTAACCCATGCAGTAGTAGAAATCAAGTTAAGTTTAAAAAACACAATCCTAGGACATGCCAACTTCATAAAAACCTCAAAGTGTTGGCCCTAGACAGAGACAGCAGCGCAAGCCCTCACATCCACCATGCCCCACACATAGGACAGTTTCACTGGTGGCCAACCTCTAAGTGGCCTTTCATGAGACCGAATGACTAGAGACACGTTCCAACTCTCATTTGTAGCCTTGAGTTGAAGTTCAGTTTTCCCAAAAAATTTCAGGACACAGATGGGGCAGAAATCAGTATCACAGAGCCAAACAGTACGAATGAGGTTCCTGATTTAGAAGTCAGTGCTTTTACTAAATTCAACACAAAATCCATGTGTCAAATGTGAGGCTGGAAAAAGTGGTTTAAATTTCAAATAGAAATCAGACAGAAGCTGGATATTCCTGATTTGCTAATTCAAGATAGAAATTATGAAGTCAGACTCACTGAGTGAGAAAACCCTTCACATGTTTGTAAAATGCAGATCTGAAATCACAGAATTAATTGATGCCAGGGAGGTGGGGGAACATCAGGAGGAGCCAAGCCATCTGGTTTGACGTCGGGGTGGTGGGGGAGGAAGTACAAGAAGCAAAACACACGATGCTCAATATCCTTGGCTCCCAGCTTCCAATTCCACCTGCACACAAGGACCCTGAACCACAGCAGCAGCAGATTCTCCCCCCGAATGAACCTCCACGTTCCCACTGACCACACGGTGGTGCTACAGGTGCACGCTGCCCTCGGGCTGTCGGGGCTGGCACTTCCAAAAACCTGTGGGGATTTTGCTATGAAGTGGAGGAGTATGGAAGATTATTTCTAGGCCATCAAAAAAAGTCCTTCGCCTCTTGATTTTTAAGCAACCAGCTTGAATTTGTAGAGTTACACTAATAATACAGATGAGTTTCACCCAAAACCCTGTGCCTCAACTGATGCACCTCCAGGACTAGTTACTGCCAGAATGTAAATATGAAACGTCCCATCTCTGGAGGGGACATTACTGTTACTGAAGAAAGGGGACATACATTAGACCTGCCCGGCCAGACAGTAACTCTCAGTGATATCTCTTGGGGTAGTGGCTTAGCAAACATTGTTTGGTGCCCTTCTACAGTGGACATTCAGCTTTTGATCATGCAGGTGAGGTAAATTGTAGCCTTCTCTGGATTCTTCTGACTCCACGGTGAAACAGGGACTGGCCAAGCAGAGCAGAGCTGCCCATGCTCACACACTGTGAACTATTTCCAGGAAGCAAATAGTACATCCACACTGGAGCATTTTAATGTGGACTAAGGAATGAAAAGAAATTCACAATCATCTATCTCTGCTTGCTGTGCCTTGGTCCACATCATGGAACAGTATTAGAGTGGGAAAACTGGATGTCTTTGGATTAAACACATGTTGTCTAAGAGCCTAGGTCACTCCAATCCCTGCGCTCAGTCTATCAGTGCAGACGAGTGTTAGTAAGAACTAAAAACCCCCAATACACCTGAGGTACCAATGCTGGGTGCTAGGCACCACCCATTTCATCCTGTGTACCTGCTCCTCTTACCACTCTGCTTCCCTTGTTAAAACAGAGGAAACTAATGATTGCAGAAACTTATAGCGCTGCAGTGCCTGCCCTGGGAGAGCCTAAAGAATAAAAGCAGCACAGGGTTTGCCTCTTTAGCAGGAAATTATATTTTACATCCTGCAAAATGAGATTTGTCAAAAATGATTCTGCAGCAGCACAGGAAAGCAGCATTGAAGGCAGTAAACAAACAGGAGTTGGCACAAGAAGGAGCTGAACTGTTCCTTTGCAATGTTATTAAAGAGGGTATATAAGGTCCTGAATTGAAAAGGCAAAGCCATGGAGACACTCCTCTCCTCAGCTACTGTGAAAAGTAATAAACACATGGCCCAGTGCCAGCCTGCAGTCCCATCCTGGGCAACACTCCCTGACTCTGCAGAAGTTCTGCACAGTGGCCTAAGATTATTTACACCTTGAATTGCTACCGTACCTGCCACCTTGGAGTTGTAGGCAACTCCCACGCCGCAGATGTTGTTGTTTGCAGCAGCAGACACCTCTCCTGCACACCTTGTCCCATGGCTGCAAAAAGGAAGACAGAGACACCACGTGAACCCCAGCTAATGCTTGTGCTGAACTGAGCTGGATCACTGCGATCTTGGCTTTGCCTCATAGTCAACTCCCAGCACTTCCAAGGAAAACTGTTCCATGGCAAACTGTTGAGTGCTGTACTTGGATACCTGGATGATCTCAATCCTTCCTGAAGCAGGAGATAATCAACTTCCCCTCTGCAGTAGGAGCCATGCCTGCTCTGAGGTTAACATGCCTCAGTAGGAGCAATGCTTGCTCCGAGGTGTCTACTTATGCTTTGTTAAGTTGTAAAGTTATTCAGACTCTTTTTTTTTTTTTTTAACTCTGTCAAACAGGTTCTGCCTTGTTATCAACTATGACTCAGCAGAAACAGTCCCCTGACAGACCAGTGCAACAATAAGATCAATATTAAATCCTTTATTTTTGTGACTTCACAGTGCAACAACCCATTATTTTGAACCCCACAGAACAAAGTCTGATTGCCTTTTTGCTATTCAGCCATGTGTCAGAAGCATATCCCTGCCCACAAATTAAGTGCTATGGAAAGAGGTGGGTACAATATCAAGCTGGAGTGGCAGAAAGGAGCCACAAGAGTCACTGCACCCCTCAGCAGAGCTGTGGCTTGGCTGGCCAGGGCCAAAGCTAGCCAGACCTGAAGCTGGCCAGAACCAAGGCATGTGCATCCCTCTCCTCCAGTGCCTAATTCTCAGGAGTGCTGACAAGGTGCCTCCAGCTGTCAGCTCACAAAGCTACTGTGTTCTGCTTAAGTGGGGAATGCCTTTGCCCTGACACAGAGGTCCAGGCTCAGGCTGACATGTGGCATTTCAAGAACACTTGGCGTCTCTGAAGTGCTCTACAGCTCCTAACTGGCCGTGGCTCTAAGGCAGTCCTGCAGGAAGGCTGACTGCATTTTCCTTTCTCCTAATTCATCACAGAAATTAAGCCACAGAGAAGATATACACGGACAACATGATCTAGTCTTTAAAAAATAGTACAGAAGCAGAGAAACTAGTGAAAACTTGTGCAACTGTCAGTTTAAGCTGAAAATGTTGAATCAATAAAAATCCATCCTATTGCTCACATCAATCCACTCTGAGCATTACAACTGGCATTGCTTCCATAGTATGCCAAGGATTCAGGCAATTAGCAGTGCTATGTTATAAAGCCTATAGTGAGCAGCAGATGAACCATCCCAGGAGACAGAACTGTTTTGTTTTAATTTATTTTTTTTTCCTCTCTCTTCCTTTAAGCACCTCTGGCAAAGGTGAGTATAACATTAATAAAGGAGTGAGAAGCAACACATTATTCTTCCTGCTGTAGTTGGAAGAATATATTTTTAAATGCAGCTCCATGAAACGAAAAATGCCTGGCTTCAAACACACAGTGCCTTGATCTCGAAACAGAGAAGGTCTCATGTGAGGTTTTTTTACAAAGGGAACAGAGAGGAGAGCCATACAGATTTCTTACTCAGCTGTCAGAGAGATTTCTTTCAACAATCAAGCAGGTCTTCCCTCATGCCCTTGTTCAAGAAAGTGTGAAAAAATATACCGTTGCTAGGCATTCATTACCTGCTCACCTTGGGCTAGCTACAAGACACAGAGCAGAATAAATGACTTTGTTACAAAATTGTCTTGACTGACACTGGGGTGCAAAAAATCAGTGAAGCTGCCCAGTCAGCTCTGTCACAGAGGGAAAAACTGTATTAGGACCTTCCTGGTAAAAAGATTTTATCAGAAGGTCCTCTCTCCCACCTTGCCCTCCCCCACCCCTTAGTGTGCCAGCCCACATGATGGAGACTGCAGGCAGACTTGTTCCACCAGCTCAAGATTTAGATCCTGTGCTGCTGACTGGAGAAAAATCACATGTGAGTTAGTGCAAATGCATTTGGTTGAATTATTAATGGCAAAAAGCAGACTTTTCCAATTTAGCCCTATTTGCTGTTCATGTATCATTGATAAATCCATTGTGGTTTCTAAGAAGTGAGTGGTGGGATGAGAGATGGGCACAAATCACAGATTTTCTCTCCAACATTCACCTCTTCACTATTATTTCAAGGTTTCAAGGGGATAGAAAACAATTAAGAATATATTCAGCTATGAATAAGTTACTGTATGTTTACCTTTAAAGTAACACGCAGAGCAAGTTTTCTATAAACACTATATAAATACAAACATTTTAAATGAACATTTGTGAAAACCTAAGGTGGGAGAGGGTGATTCAATTGAGAGCCAACTTTGCTTTCAGCTGCTTTAGATAATTGCTATACTAGCTCTGAAAATTTAACTGGACCTTGTCTTCGGAAACTATTTCTGTTTCTAAAATCACTGCTACTGCTTTTGTGCATGACCTTTTATTGATGCATTTTTTAAGAGTCAGAGGTGGCACAGATTTTTGTCTTTTTTCAGTTCCTTTTCATCTGCTTTGAAGTGCTTCTGAAAACAGGAAAGGACAGGATTCATCCTTCCTAAGTTCACCTGTCTGTGGGGGATGGCTATGCAGAGCTGCAGTCTCAATAGCTGCGACAACCTGCCTATTTAAATATGAAAAGCTCAGAGGGACACTTTTGTGAGGCAAATGCCACCTCCTTTTACTCACATGACACTTTTGGGCATTTGAGTATTTGCACAAGGGAAAGCCACTCTGCCTGCATCCAAACACACCAAGAACCAGCAGTAGTGCTGTGGCTCCTCCTTAACTCTTGTCCTCTAACACTGCAGGTAGAAAGAGCCCCTAGATCTGTTCCTTCAAACTCTCAGTTATTATGTTGTTTCCATTGTATTGACTGGAAAACCAGAAGGAGGGGAGCAGGTGTTCTCCTCTGTTAATGAACGCTGTCTGGAAGCCAAGGGGAGTTCTTCCCTTGATTCGATGGTGTTTTGTTTGGATCCATAATAAGTGAAGGACATTTTTACTTCTGAAAAATACAGATTTCCAAGATAGTGAATAATTTTTGTGCAGGCAGCTCCTACCTGAGTGAGAGAATATACAGAATACAAAGGCTACAGGAATGAAAATAATTACTGGTTAATTGTAGCATGGCAGAAATTCATAATCTCAGTGCTCTGAGATGGGGAGCTCAAGAAATCAGAGTACAGAAAGGCCAAGCTCTCTCTGACTCTTATGGCACATCCAAACTGTACCAAACGGTTGGTACATGCCAAGGTCCCAAATGTGGTTCAGGAGGAGTGGGTGTTAAAAATTACAGGCAGTTTCCAAAGTTGGTCCTAAAAACCACAAAGTGCCATTGAGCTGCTTCTGCTTTCGGGAACAGGGCTTGGTACAGTTTCCTTTGCTACTCCCACTGCTCTTCAGGCTCAAAGACAGCCCTGCCCCATGTTGCACCCAGTGTCCTGGCTTGGTTCCAAAGCTGTGGGTCTGAACACAGTCAAGTAGTCAATATGGTAAGCACGGGAATAAATCCCTTGGCTGCCCAGTCATCTACACGCCTCTCTGTATAAGAACATCCAAACTGCCCAACTGCAATTCCCTGCCTGAGGCATCATGCTGATCCCTTCCAAAACCCACCCTGATTGCTTTCATAGGCCAGTGGCTGTTGGATGGTAAGGACAAAGTGCTTCCAGCGGCCTTAAACAGCACAAAGTGAATGTGAATCTGTGCTTACAAGCAGAACAGCTGTGATTAATGAAAATTCCATGCAAAAAACTTTCCCTTTTTTTTTTTTTTTAACATCTGATGACACTTTGCTCATGCAGCTGGGAGCTCATAAAAGCCCCTCGGTTCATCTCTTTAAAAAACAGTCCTCTGCTTCTTGTTCCACAAATTACTTGAATTGCTCACATAGAAATGTATTCTTTATGGAAAAAGGGATATTACGCTATCCTGTTTTGAGTTTGATCCTCCTGCTTGCATGAAATTCAATGGCAGATACATCACTGACTGCAAACTGAGATAAATGGAGCCTTTATTGCAGGTTCCTCTAAATGGCTTTTCTATGTAACTGCTCCCTATTCAGATAGACACCTTTGCAGCTACACATATAGATAGACAGACTGTCACAGGAAGACAGTTGTAACTAAGCATTGATAATAATTCAGGAGTCAGAAGTTATGACAACAGCTTATACATCAGCTTGATTAACAGTATAGCCAAGAAATACTCAGAGAAAAACATACTAACAACTACTCCTGAACAGCTGGGTATGGTGTGTTGGTTTGCATCTTAGCCCGGAGAAAACATGACATTTTGCATTTTAAAGCCTTCTTCAACTATGCAGGCAGGAAAAGCATGAATTAATGCATGTGTTGCTTCTGAATTTACCTTGCAAGGCAGAAAATTTCCTGTCTCATCAAAGAAACCTCAAGGTACATGACAAAGAATGCTATACTTTCTAGGTATCTTACTTTCCCAATTTGTCTGTCTACTTTCATTCTAAAATCAAATGCAGTTATCAGGCAAGTCCAAGGCTGCTTTTCATCTTGGATATAGAAGAGCGCTCAATCTGCATCTAAAAGCATGTTCAAACCATACAGTTTGTTCCCATTATAGAGACAGGCACTGAATTATGCAACAAGCTTACAGTGAGCAATTACATTTTAATCACTGTAAAGATTTTTTTTTTTTTTTTTTTTCCTGCAAAGAATAATAGGAAATCAGCAAAGCAATTTCTGCGTTGCTTTCCTCCTCCTGATTTGCTGATTTGAGCTCCTCATCCCCCAAGAAAAGAAACAGAAAAAAGGATTGCAGTTTTCTGAAAAAATTAATCATGTTGTTCTCAGTAAGTTCGGATTGGGCCACAGATGACAATTCTGCTCACCCTTGATGCTACACTTGGGTACCCAAGGTTTAGCCAGATGCACCTGGGGCCAGACACCATAACCCTTGCCATATCCAGGATCCCTAAGGCCCATTTTAAGCCTTTAGGAGGTAACTTTCCCTGCAGGGCCACCTTGCAGAACACGTGAGGACTTCAAACTGTGCCCCACTATAAAATACTTAATAGCAGCACAATCAGTGTTAATGGGGCTTGGCAGAAGACACTTAGTTTTATGAAGTTCCACATGGAAAATGACAGGAGCCACCATTACCCACCAAAGCTAAATTTAATTTTCCTCAGCACTGCTCTGGAGCTAAGTGGTATCTTTCTCCTACAAAGATCCTTTGCATAAATAAAGTAAGAAAGGCAGCAGACCTTCACAAATTAGGGCCCTAGTTTTCCTCTTACTTTCCATTCACTAATTGGATTCATACTAGCTTAAAAGTGTCTGACGTCCTTTTCTGAAATGAAGGAGAAATTTCATTGGAAACTTGCTTTGGCTGAAAAATGGCAGGACTACAGAGGAAGACATCACAGCTCTTAAATCTGTTTGATCCATGCCAGGAAGCCTGCATCTGAGATGGAAGTGCAGCTGGTCCACATCTTTGTTGTGGCACTCTGACAGAACTAAAATTGATTTATTTAGAAATAAAAACAAAAAACCCATACAAAGCTCAGAGGCTATCCACACATCCATACTAAGTTGGAAATGAAAAGCACATAAAATAGGCTGAAAATATTTTTGATAAGCACTAAGACTGAGCCCTGAAACCTGTACAGGTTTTCAAATCCTCAGTGCTGCTGCTATGTAAATGTTGGTAGAATCTATTATATTTGCCTCTAAAAGACTTCTGGAAGTTTCACTGAAAATATCCTCAAGCATTTTTACAAATTTACAGACTCTGGGGAGCATGCTGCAGAACCAGAGATGCTGGATGCTGAGATGACCAGGTAATAAACACCCCTTATGGATGTACCTTGGACTCTGCTCCCCATGACTGCATTAAATCTCATGAGGAGCAGTTAGCCTGACAGAGCAGGCTTCTTCACGGGACAGATGCAGCATCCAGAGCACAGAGTTTTTTTGAAAACCTTTGACAGACACTGCTGTTCCATTCCATCAAAAAACAGTTTTAGGAAACAAAAAAGGTCATACTTCCTAAAATCTGAAGCCTTTAAAATTTGCTAGCAGTGATACTGCCTCAAGATACAGTTGAGGGGAAACCAGTCATAACTGAATGAAGCACAGACAGAGTTGGGCTATAATGTCGTAAGACAGTTAGCAGAAAATGGCATGTGGCTATCACCCACTCAAACAATTTACACATACACTCTTCTGAAGCAGCAACTTAATTTATAAACCATAAAATGGTTGTTCAGCATTATTTAGAGGCTACCTAAAAAAACTCAACAACGTAAGTCTAATTTTCAAGCTGCCGTGAGACTGCAACTTCTGTTCTGGAAACCATAGAATATAGCAGAAAAGAGACATTCCACTAATACCCAACAATACTTATAGTTTCTTTAGCAAACTGAAGACCAGACTGATGAAAAAACATTTACCTGTTAAACCAGTCATCTGTGTAGCGTGGGTACGGGTAGGGATCATTACTGCTGAAGTCGTAGCTGGCTTGGGCATTCTGCAAAACACAAAGAGGTTCGGTAAATCAGCAAAAAAACAGACGTGTGGGGCAAAGCAGAACACAAACTAAGGGAGAGCTGAGAATCATTACTAAACTTTGTCCTCTTTGTTTCTGTGAGGTGCATCTGGATGCAAACCGGTCCCTGTTATGCTGTGCATTTCCCACACCAGCAAGCCTGGGGAAGGTGCTTTCTGGGTTGCAAAGCCTCCTGTGGACCATTAGCATTTCCAAATAGCATAGTTATTTGTGAGGTGATGCGAGAACTAAGGCTACTACTGAGGGACTGTTCACCAACATCTATAAGAACATTTAGGTGTTAAGCTACTTGGATGGCAGGACAAAGGTTATAAACCCTGCTTGCCAAGCAGTGGTGAAAGTGATCAGACACTTAGGTCTTCATCATAGAATTATTTTTTGAAACTTATTTATGGTACTACATAAACAGTCACATTTCTAAAAGCATATCAATGCCTACGAATTTAAAGTTTCTGAACATTTTAATTTCACTGGTGGTCAGCACATATGCCTTAAAATCCCTTTGCATACTTTCTTGGTTCTTTAGTTGTTTGAACAAATGGGGTCTTCAGGGACTTCTGAAAAATGTCATCCCAGTTCTCTGCTTTTCATATAAATCTACGTAATTCCTGATTTTGCTCCATCATCAGACTTCAGGACACTCAGCAACTTTTTGATGCTGTATCTGAGAAGCAAATGGAAAGTTTCAGATAGTCAAGCACCATCTTCTTCTCTCTTAACTAAAAATAAATAAAGGGTGACTGAAAATTAAGATTTAAAAAATATTTAGAAGCTTCCTCTCAAATGTATGTTCACAGAGTTAATATTTTAATAAACACTATAGTTAAGGAACTGAATTATGTTAATTCTTAATTAATGTGTACTTGTATTTTTTTTTTCAGATTTGGCTGAGTATGCTATTGAAGATAATTTGAGACTCTTGTATGAATAGCTTTGCTCCTAAAAACATTCCCCTTCAGCAGATTCTCAGTTCCTGGGGTACAGAAATAGACAGTCCATTGGTAGCACCAAAGTCTTTAGGTTTTTAATTCAAAATCTCTATCTCTTAGAAACTCTTGTGCCAGAACGAAACAAGGGCAACACTGTCCTTGATCCTTGGAGGGTATAACTAAGTATCTTTCAAGTTACCGTACAGTAATTTTGGGGGGTGATGATTTCAGAAAGCCTGGCTGCTTATATTCAGCATATGACAATAAATATTTTGCAGCATTCGAATGAAGCAGAGATTTGCACACCTATAACACAGTTTGATGCTGTTCTCCAGCTCAGACATATTTGAATCCCTTTGTGAGTAGCCTTATTGATCTGTCTCTCTAAATTAAGGCCTTGATTTTCAGCCTGAAGATGCCTTCCAATAATGTCAGCTATAGCCACAAATTCTCAGTGGTTCTAAGTCTCTGCACCCAGGTGTATGTTTAATTTACCTCTTTTAATTACCACAACTGCTTATACAGCACTTCGAGTGGCATAGATTTGTATGAGCTAAGAGTAAACAGAACATGACTTTTCGGCCAGAGAAAAGAAAGAGAATGTGACAGTGGTCAATAAATCATGAATAGCACAGAGAAGGTAGACAAGGAGTTATTACTTACTACTTCTCATATAAGAACTAGTGGGAATCCATAGAAATTACCTGAGGGAAAGATTTAGAGGCAGCATAAAATAAGAAGTACTTTTCCACAGAATGTGTAATGAGTTACAAAATTCATTGCCCTCCAGCAATACAGAGGTTAAAAGCCTGAATAAAATCAAAATGTGGTTAGACAAAAAAAAAAAGATAGATCTGGAAGGGGTATTAGATGCCATGCTTCCTCCTTCTCCAACAGCCCATAAATGAGTGAGTGCTAGAAGCTAGGAGGCCAGAATCAGATGGATACCATACTGCTCCCCAAGCTCTGCTACTGGCTGCCATTGGAGGCAAAAGGCAAGAGAGGAAGTCAGCATTTTGCTGTGTCCAGGGGAGCTGTGTCAGGATTTGTGCAAGGGGGCAGGTTTCATCCAGAACACATCTGTAAAAAGAAATAAGCTTGCCAATGGAAAATCCAGTCCTGTTCTTTATGAACAAGTGCAGTATTTACTCCTAGCAGGATAAGCTGGAAAACCATATCCTAGGGTAAAGTCAAAATAGAAATAATGACTCTGAAGTCATTTAAATAGCAGATAAAACCTACTCTGTTGCTGTCAATCTGTGGACAGAAACGCATTTCAATCACAAATTAAAACACCTTTCTTACACTACTGCCTTGCACTAGACATAGCCTGGAAACCACGCAAACTGCAAATAACTAAGCTTAGTTGTAGTGACCTCAGATGGTTTCTGTAAGGTGGGTATGGTCTAACTCAGTGCTAAATGTAATTAGTTCAATATATGGCCAGCATCTTAGTCAGAACTTCTGTTTCCACTCCAAAAATACTGTCCAGATGAGAACTTAAACTCAGTCATGGGTCAGCTGTGGTTTGTTTTTTTTCCATCTGGAAGAAATTCAGTCCTACCTACATGGACTCTAAACTCAAAGGTGGTCTGGTGAGGCTTATTTTTCAGGACATCGACAGACATGCCAGCACCTTGTGTTAGCTGTCATCTGCACCTGACTCTAGAATTTCCTTGTGCAAAGAATTACAGATGGAAAAGCCCTTCTAGCTGTACAAATGTACCACTTGTGGCCAGAGTAGTGATAGGCAAAGGGATGCTAGCATGAATGATTCAGCCACCCTACAGCAGACTGCAGCTCTGTTGTATGTCCCATGTAACCAAATGTCAGCTATGGAAAAGCTACTTTAGGCAGACTATAAACAAAGTTGTGCAGCACTCTTCCACATCCTGCAGCTCTTATTCACTTGATTTTGGATCACTGCACTGAAAGGAAAAAGATATCTAACACAGTAGGAACCATCCACAAAGTGCAAAATTAGGAAGAATTCTTGGAAAGAAAACAACTGCTGACTGCACAATTTGTCTTCATTAGGGTCTTTGAGACAAGACAGTGAGTTTCAGCTTCATGAAGGAACATTCCACCCACGCTATGGAAGCAGTAGAACAGATAATGAAACAGCAGTGACAAGTACAAATACACTACTTCAAGTTTCTAATTTAAAAATCAAATCCTCAAGTACCTAAGCCTCAATCTTTTTATTTTATTTTTTCTTAAAGCATAAATTAACAACAAATAATGTTCAACACTGGACCAGGAAGGGAACTGCTTTGGTGGATAGCCAAAATGTTTCATCTTCTACTTTGGGAAGCGAATATTAAAACCTCTGGTCTGCCAGTCTCTTCCCCTACCTGGACTCTACAGCAGGCAGCAAGAGGGGATTTATCAGTAGTGAGATGTAATCAGTGTAGGAACCTGGGAGGTGGCAATCAAAACCAGTGCAGATTAGGATCTAAAGCAGCACACTGAAATGAAAGCAGTTTGCTTTTCAATTCAGGTGATTTGGTTTCCAGATTTAAAGCCAAACTTGTCTACCAGAAATTATTTCTCTTAGACTTGAAGTGTTTAATATTTGGTTTTCAATAACTAAGACAGTTGCCTAGTCTTTTCCTACTGTCAGTGGAGACAATCAGCTCCATGGAACCACTCAAGCCACCGGTCTTTGGCACTGATCATAAACTGGGGTACTGGTAGAGAGACTTCAACTTACTAGTTAGGTGAATAGTGTTAAAATGAGATTAATCCTATCCCTCATGTTCAATGAAGGCCAGTTCCCTGTTGCAAAGCAGCTTGAACATGATGTTTATCAGCAGCCACCATCTATACAGATTTACTTATCAATAATGTCTATTCTATAATAAAAATGGTTGTTTTGTTATCAGAGAGGAACTGTCTTGCTTTTTAAGGCATATCTCTTCTGCTTTCTAGCATCCTGCACCTCTACCTCAAATAAGATTCTAACAAAAAAGTACTGGATCAGATTATAAGATTCTTTCAATCATTTATTTATTAATAGCTTGCATACCATTATATGAATATATTACTTTTGCCCGTGTATAAAATTTTGCTTTCCTTAAAAATAAGCTTAGACTGGCATTTTCCAAAGAACTGCCCCTACTTTTAAAAAATACATGCAGTAAAATCTTATTTGTAAAACATTCATTCTGTAAAATATGACAATAACAATAAATCAGTTGTCCCACGCGTTCCTCAGACCTGTAATAAAATTATGTACCTTGAATAATGCAGCAAACCCATAAATTTTTACATGACTTTACAAGCCTCTGAAGAATAATTCACATATACTTCTCTCTTCCTCCATAACTCAAGAAATGTGCCTCTGCTCACATGCTAGTCCAGGAGACAAATGATTAAGGACAAATCCCTCTGGTCACAGTGTGATTTTACTCATGACGTTAAAGCACTGGTGAATTTAGCCCAGAGATTTGTATCATTTAAAAGTAGAGAAACATTTTTAACACAGGTGCCATCTGGTCTTATCATCTTCAGGCAACTGCAAATCCTTAGAGATCTGAGACAGAAAGATACCTATTGCTTGTTTGACTTCTTTACTGATCCAAAGAGCGAGCAAACCCCTGGGCTCAAATTACAACATAAAACCTCTCAAAGAAAACTGCTAAAATACCACTGAACATCATGTGGTGGAAAAATGAAATTCAGTTTTGTACACACAAGCTTAAGAAAACAGAATATGCTCACTGGGAGACAAAAAAGGAGGCAACATGATATTTTGCCTAGGAGGGGTGCTATAAGGCTTAAAGGTTATTAACGAAAAACAGAGGTACTGTTGCTAAGTCAGTAGTGACACAATAAACCCTCTCCTCCCTGCCATGGGAAGCACACTGTTCTATTCTGGTTTTGGTTTGTGGCAGTTTTTTTATGGAAAAGAAAAAACCTGCAACTTCTTAAATAATTCTGCCACATGAATTAATTTACAGGTCCTATATTATCATCCAGTAAATTCAGAGCTGCATTCAAGACCTTGCCAACACTGAAATAAATCCAGGA